TTGGAAAATCCACATGCATTAATCATCACAGTGATGATACCCTTTCTAACACTTGGAAATCACTCTTTGAGATTTAATTATTTATTTTTATTTATATACTCATTGTTTTCATATTGTTTAAATTTCTTGTTTACATTTTAATTCAAACATTACATTCTATTTTTAAATTGTATTCTTTTATTTGATGTTGCTGTTAACTGAAGAAGGTCAGTCAAGCAGTGAAAATGTTCTTAATTTTAATAAATATGTTGCTAGGATTATAAAGGTGATTTTTATTTGTATGCATAATAATAATAGTCCATTGTTAGACTAAAAAGTATATTAAAAATATTTGAGTTTACAGGCCAGATACCTGTGATAATGAACTTGCTTTAAATGTTGCATGGAATGAATGTCAAAGGAAGGCATATCTAAATCCCCTGCAATCTCATAGATGATTAGTGTGCATCCCAGTTGTGATACCACGCAATCATTACAGACAGTGCTATAGAAACCCCTTAAAGGACCAAATACATTCTTGTATGGAGACTGTAATTTGTAAGAAGTTCAAGGGGGAATAGAGAGAAGAATTATTTTTGTGTTATTAGGCATATGTTATGAGTTCCAGACTGATATAGCTCTTGTGATTATGTATGTGATTATTAAACATTTCTTTTCTGGAAATTTTACAAAACTTTGAGAGTTCATCAATCCACTCTCATGAATAACATTAACTATTCTTGATGGACTATTATATGTAAAGAAAAACAATAAACGAAGGTATACGAGGTCTGTTCAAAAAGTATCGGACTTTTATTTTTTCCGCGTAAACCAATGATGCACGGGAGGCCTCTTTCGGTGGAGTTGTGGAGGGGACAGTCATGCACAGCCCTGAATTTTTTCCTGCCTGCAGGAAGTGTTAGTCGTTGGCAGTCGGCCTATGAGTGAGGACATGTAGCGATCTCTCGTCAGATTTCACTAAGTTGGAAAATGACTGAACAACATGAGCAGCAATATTACATCAAATTTTGCCAAAAACCTTGGCGATACCCGAGTGTACCCATTTGCAAGATTCAGCAGGCTTTCGGGGATGATCTTCGAGGCCAAAAAAAGTGTGGCAGGTCCGCAGCAATATCAAGGTCATGTTGACAGTTTTTTCGACTCTCGTGGGGTGGTGTATCGTGACTACACACCACGAGGCCAAACCATCGGAAAGGAGTACTACCAGGAGGTCCTTCGTCGTCTTTCCGATGCTGTGTGACGCAAACGACCGGACCTGTGGTCGATCAAAACTTGGCAGCTCCATCGTGATAACGCATCCGCCCATTCTGCGCATCTGATTTGGGCTTTCGTCACCAAACACAACACTCCTGTAGTTCATCACGCTCCGTACTCTCCCCATATGGCTCCATGTGACTTTTGGCTATTTTCCAAGCTGAAAATGCCTCTAAAAGGAACCCGATCTTAGTCGAGAGAAGACATCATGCGGAATGCGACGGACCAGCTGATGGCCATTCCAAAAGATGTGTTCCAGCAGTGTTTCCAGCAATGGCAGGAACGCTGGGAGAAGTGTATACACTACCAAGGAGACTACTTTGAAGGGGATTAGGGTTTTGTACCTCAAAATCAATAAATGTATTTTTGCCGACCAAAGGTCTGATACTTTTTGAACAGAACTCATATTATCAGTTATGGGGAAAGCAATAAAAGGAGGGTTTTAGTTTTCAACTGCACTGATTGCATAACCAGTGCTTACTGTCTCTCCACATATCCTTGAAGTTATTTTGCCAACTTGTTTTTCTGCTCTGCATACTATTATCATTTTTGACTTATGAACATTTGAAAGTTCAGTCTTATTAATGTTCCAAATTGCCTCTGTAAGCTCAACGAAAACCAGGATGACTTTAATCCCATGTCAAAGATGGCTAAGGGCATTTGCAAATTGAGTGGTGTGATGGAGACAGTGATGACAAGTGTATTCACAGAGAAACCGTTTATTTTTACAAAAAGTTCTTACATGGTCCACTGATTATTTTCAGTCCTTTGGTAACAGTTCTTTTCAATGTAGAAGAGCAATGTGGCTTTGGTCTTCTACATGTTTTTGTTGATGGGTTGTATTCCTGGGGCAGATGAGATGGTTCTTGGATCTGTGCGGTGTTCTCACAACAGAGGACAGCACAAAGCACAACAGTTTGAAGATTGATGTTACACAGATTCACAGGTTATCCAAGAGAGAGAGAAACTGCCTCTTGTGTTGACACATGATGTGTTGATTAACTGAGTGCTATGTGTCCTTGAATGCTGGGGATTTTATCAATCTCTGTCTTTCAATCCGCTATTCTGATTGGTTAATCTCCTTCATCCACACTTTCCGAGTGGTTGGTCCCTCGTTACTAAGTGTAATGTGATCTTGACTCGAAACACAGGAGAGATCAAACCTGAAACTGAATTTAATCTCCCAACTGGAGATGAATGATCTTAGGACTACATTTCATCTAAGATTCATGGCTCTGCATTGCATTCTAACGCAAACAAAAGAGTGTTCAACTACAAATGTTTTTTCTTGCCTTTTTAAACAAACAAAATTTTTCTCTAAATTAACTGAATTTTCGTGAATTACGAGATGGTTCAGACCTGTCCAGGACCTCACACCTCTGATCCAATTTTGCTCTTTTGAAATATATTATTTAAATTATCAAAGAATTTGGTTGTATTATTCCTGTTAAAGGTAGTGATCTTTGTAAGGTGTCATTACATTTCATGAATCTGAACATCTGGTTAGTCAAATTATAGTCCAAATAATCTGAAAATTAATGTGATTATTATAGAATATTTGGGTTTGGTTGTTTATGTAAATCTACAATGATTTATTAACAAAAATGAAATAGAAAAAGCAATATTTTAATGCTTGAGATGGTAATCTCAAGCATTAAACTTGTAAATTTCCTACCAGTAATTAATTATTTTGCTTTCAGTGGCTGCATTGGAGGTTCAGATGATATGATAAGAGGGGTTATAACGAAGGGTTTTATTTTAAGTTCGCTGACCTGGTGGAGATTGGGGACTTAAAATTCCACTTCTTGGAAACCAGTGTAAGTTTGCTGACTTTTAGGGGAGGATCATTAATCCTGTGTCAGGATGATCTAGGGATGTTCGCGTGTGGGTGTGGAGGAAGACACAGAGATGACAAGTATATATAACTCCTACACACACACCGGGTTGTATAATAAAAATTCCACTTACTTAAGCCTGTAACCGATTATTTTATTTTAAAATTTCATAATGGTGTTCCAGAATAAAAAAATCAGCTAGAATACCTGAGGAAGAACACAGAAGGTGTTCAGAAAACGTTTGTGCTTTACAATTTTACTGTTTCACATCGGTTACAGGCTTAATTAAGTGGAATTTTTATAATGACAAGTATCTTAAAAAAACCCATTTATTTTAGCATAAAACAAACTTACACTACAAAACAAATATTTTTGAACACAATCGGCTGGTTGGAAGTCTTTAGCATCGATGTTGTCTTGTTGTTCACTTCATGAGTGTTGGTGTTCTTTTTGTTGTTCTTTGTCCAGGGCAGTGTTGTTAAACAGTTTGTGAGACAGATGGGGAGACTTCATTGGTCAGCATCAGCAGTGACACGACTTTAATATCCACATGAAGATGGAAAGCTTTGTCCCAAGTGTGTTGACGCACAGTGTCTTTGCGCTTTGGAACCTTTTTGGAGAGTCCTCATGTCCTTGAAGACTGGGATTATATTAATCTCTGTTCTCCCCCTTTTGTCTATTCTGATTGGTTCCACGTTCCCTTTTCTTGCTTCCCGATTGGTCCCTCATCTGTCCCTAAGTGAAAGACAAGACCTGTTTGGGCTATGAGAAGGGTCAGCTTCAGACAATCTACCCAGCATCATCTGTTAACTCTGGATGGAAAGTGTTGATGGGACTTTGAACTTACACTCTTATTTTACCTCATTGTTGTCTAGTCTAAGACATCTTAGATTTTTTTTACAACCTGATGCGATGTCCCCTTTTATAATTAACCTTTCCCTTTTCCAAAATTTTCTATGTTCTAATTGTTTGTATATGAGTGCCTTGTCAAAGGTCCATCTCTACTGGAGGACATTTACATTTATTGTGTCATGTTTTACATTAATAGCATTGTTTTTTTCTTGTCTTGGTTTCATATGACTAGCACAACTGGTCTGATCTTTGATCAGTTTTTAACAGGAGGTTTTTTTCCTGTAGTTTTGTTTTAATAAATTTCTGTAATAATTGTTTAATTTCAACCCATTTTTGAAACCTCACAATTTTCATTTTTGCAATTTTCTGTAGGGTATGTGCTGTTGCAGATTAGTTATATGCCACCTCCAGTTATTTACAAGAAATAACGACGACAGAACAAAGTGACAATTAATACCATATGACTAATACTATAGAGACATCGTTGGAGATGTGATTATAATAGGCATATAAATTAGACAGCAGTCAGTGTAGCCCAAGTGTAGTCAATTTAGTGAATTTCTTACTACAGCTAGCAAGATTTTGAAATATTAAAGTAACTTTTTATTTTTAAGATTTAATTTTTTTTTATTTTTAAGATTTAATTTTTTTTCCTTATTTCAACACTTTGCCACAGGTCCATATAAATAGCTCCGCAGGTGCACATGAGCCTGCGGGCACAAGGTTAGGAATCCCTGCCTTGGAGGTATGAAGGAATATTGTACATGTCAGGAGTTGCAATTTGGCACAGAATATTTGGTGCCCAAATGATGCACACAAAAAATAAACCAGACTTGTAAGTAGTCAGGGGACCGAGAACTGGGTCAAAAGAAAATACCAAATGATGAGACTGTTTCTACAAACAGGCGTGAGTGCGAGATTTGTGCATGCGTTGCTCGTGCTCTCCGAGACATAGTCTCATCCCAAGAATGGCTTTGCCATTTTACTTGTTTAATTATTTCCAATAAAACTGTTTTTTTAAAAATACAAATTTTAATTTTGAAAAATTATTTTTTTCAGATATCAATGGATGAAAAATGGAAAAAAGTTTGATTATATGACTTATGATAGAAGAATTTCTCAACAAGCTGGTATTGGTACATTATTATTTACAAAACCAGATGATATAGATGAAGGCATCTATCAATGCTTGGCAGAAAATGAACATGGCATTGCAGTTTCAAATACTGTTTTCTTAAGAAAATCTGGTAAATAAATAAAATTTAATTTTTCAAATTGTTGACAATGTAATAAGAAAATTAAATTTGCTTTCTACAAATTTTAAATTTTTTTATCATTTATGTTTAGCAGTACACATATATAAATTATGGTCTATCCAATATTACCATTTGTTTTTATAAATGAATAAAAATAAAATTATTTTAATTGCCTATATGCTATTTGCCTGCTATATGCCTGTGCATCCAATTACCGAAGAAGAGATCGAGAGTGCACTAATAAAGATGAAGCCTGGCAGGGCATGCGGACCAGACGACATTGCTGCAGATCTTTGGAGGGCAAAAGGTTGGAGGCCATCGACTTGGCTTTCCACTTTCTTCAACCTGATCATCAAGGAGAAGAGGATGCCCACTGACTGGCAACAGAGTATTACAGTGCTTGTCTGGAAACAGAAGGGCAGTCAGGCTGAGTGCTCAAACTACTGCCTGATCCGACTTCTTTCGCACATTATGAAGTTGTTTGAGCATGTCTTAGACCGCCGAATCTGCAACCTCATCAAACTCACTGTAAACCAGGCTGGTTTCGTCAAGGGATGCAGCACGATAGATGCTGTCCTTGCTGCTCAACTCCTCATTGAGAGGCATTATGAGAAGAGGATCCCGCTGCACATTGCCTTTCTTGATCTTGAGAAGGCATTCGACCATGTGCCACATGAGCTTATCTGGGTTGCTCTTCGCCAGCATCACATTCCTGAGGAACTTATCAGTTGGGTACAATTACTCTACTGCATCCAATGAGCCATGTCTGTGGCATCGCTGTGACCTCAAAACCATTCCACGTCTCCGTCGGTGTTCACCAGGGCTTCACTCTCTCCCCACTTCTGTTTATCATTGTCATGGATGTCATCACACGCAACATCCAGCGAAATGTACCATATACATTACTGTATGCTGACAATGTGTTCCTCGCCTCCACTGACAAGATTGACCTGCAGCAGCTCGTCCAGATGTGGTGTAGTCATCTTGCACAACATGGCCTCCAACTGAACCTGAAGAAGACTGAGTACTTAACGACAGACCCGATTGAGGAAGGCACAATCATTGTTGATGGCGTCAGCCTTCCTCGAGCTGAGCAGTTTAAATATCTTGGGTCTGTGATCTCTGCCAATGGAGACTTGTACCATGAGGCAGTTGCACGCGTCAATGCCGCCTGGCTGAAGTGGTGCTCAATAACAAGTGTGCTGTGCGACCGACGCATCAAGGACCAACTTAAGTCAAAGATTTATTGAACCATTGTCCAGCCTGTCGCACTGTATGGGGCCGGGTGCAGGCCAACTACGAAGGTCGTTGACCACCGACTTGCTACTATGGAGACTAGGATGTTGCGTTGGATGAGTGGCCTTACCAGACTTAATTGAGTACCCAACATAGACATCAGAGCCCGGTATGGCATTGCTGAGAGCAATGAGAAAGCGCGCGAGTGGCGCCTGCGCCTTTATGGCCATGTGCTCTGTGCTGACGCTGACTCCATCATTCACATGAGCTAAATTTGGAGGTACCTTGGTCCTGCCCAAGTGGTCGCCTGAGGCAGCGTTGGCTGGACACGCTATATCATGACCTGCAAGCCGTAGGTCTACACCCAGACCATGCCCATGATCGGGCCAAATGGAGATTCAAAATAAAATCCAGATGTACTGACCCCGCTGTTAAATGGAACTAAGGCCAAAGAAGAAGAAGAGGCCTATATGCTATTATTTGCATTTTACTATATAATACTTTGTGTAATGTAAAATGCTTCCATTTATTTAGAAAGAAACACATCAGTGTTTAACTAGAAACACATCTTGTGTTAGTGAACCAAAGAAAGAATAAATGTTAGAAAAAAATGTCAAAAGTCTTTGATTAAAACTTTTACTTATTATGATTATATTTCTCAATTAGTACAATTTTCATTAATGTGTCATATTCATGGATGCATTAACCATGTTAATCAAGAGACTATTCTATTTCTTTCATTAAAATATAAAAAATACAAAGTTAGCATATTTAAAACATTTCTGTGGTCTGTACCAATACTAATTTCATAAATGTTAAACGGGGGGTCAAAGTCCCTACAGGAAATGATAGGTTGTTTCCTGCATCCCTCTATAATGTACTAATTATTGACTAGCATCCTCCCTGCTGCACATAACCTTTGTCTTTGTAATAGCAACAGGACTTTGTGTTGCAGGGATAAGAAAATCAGAAAAGGGTTAGCCTTGTCATGCTTGCATGAAGCAAGGAGTCAACGGCCAGATGGAGGCAGTATCCTCATTCAGCTACCTAGGTGGTAGCAGAATCATCAAATAGATGCTGGCAAGACTGTGATCTTACCAAAAAAAACTAAAGAGAAAAGGGAAGAGAAAAGAGGCCACAAGGACTGACTAAAAATCCCTCCCCTTATTGCAAAAATAAAAACTAATTACAGACAAGCCTATCATCCTATTGTGCACTAATAGTGGAAATTCTTAGATGAATAGCCATACCTAGATTTTTATATGAAAGTCACTTTCATATAAAAATCTGGTGGGTGGTGGTTCATTTCTTGAACACCTTCCTATACCTGGACCATGTTCAGTAACATAAAATTCTTACCAAGTTTAGTTATGCTGCAATGTTGAACTCATTTCTAACTACTGCTTGACACCTCCCACTGCTAGAATTTTAGTTAGTTCAGTCAGCTTCTTTTGTCTATGCTAACTTCCACTAGTGATGTCATTGTTTTTGTCTCGTTGTACGATTTGCAAGATGGCTGCTTGTGTTGGACTAAACATATTTTACTATAACAATCACAAAGTTATTCTCTCATTCTAAATTATTAACTCATGCTAAAATGACTTTGAAATGTAAAATTATCATGCATAGGTATAACAGATTTTGAATAGATTTTAATGGAAAATAACAGTCCATTTCGTTGATTACAATTAATAATTGCTTCATTAATTTCATCATGATCTGATGCAACTTCCATTTGAATAATTGTGTTGGTTACTACATCCTTTTCAACCACTTTGTTTGCCACAATTGTTGAAATCATAATTTTAACTTCGTCCACCATTTTGCCCAGTTGTCTGTCTAACTAAGAATGATCGTTCAATAATGCTTAGAACATTCTTAGCTCCATCCACCAAGCCACTCAGAATTCTAACTTAGGTGTTCTGCATTATTGAATACAGCAGCCCTGGCTAGCCACAACTTGTGTTTAACCAGATGGCTAAGTAGGTTAATCATATAGGCAGAAGTTGTGCCTTGACCAAATAGGATGTGTAGAAATATGCTTTCATATGACAGAAAGGGTAAAGCCAGGAGTTGAGCAGACCAGCCCAAAGTTTCTTGGCCACCTTATAGTTGTAGAAAAGATGTGCTGCCATTTCTGGTGAAGAGCTGCACATTGGATAGTTTACACTCCAAATGTAAACTCCGATAGACCAAAGCTTATCTCTAGTGGAGAGAGCCAGTGGTGTACCGTGGGTGTCAACTGCCCGGGGCGGAGGAAAATTTGGGCCCCCCTTTATTTAGGCATTTCAATTTAAAAGAACAAAATTCAGTTTTGTCACAGAACAAGCAATGAAAAATTCAGTGGTAGTGCAGCAATCTGTTTAAAATAGTTCAATTGGTTATTAGTGGTGTATATGAATGCGAATGAATTGTACAAGCAAAAAAAGAAAAAAAAGGTCAACAGGTTTCACAGGAATTCCTCGGATGAAAAAGTTACTAGTTCACCCGGCGAGCCAATTCCCGGACTGTCCAGACGACAGCACTATCGCAGGCGCAATGCAAGTATAGATTAGGATGTTTCAAATTTTTACAAGATATTATTATTATTTATTGTGAAATTTTGCTGCCCCCTAAAAGGTAATTTTGCCGCCCCCACTACAGTACGCCACTGGAGAGAGCATTATGCAGAGCTCTCCACTGCAGTTCAATGCAGTGTTTGGGAACTTGCCCATCAAACATATGCACCAAATGGTCGACCATTCAATGGTGACCTGAGTGCTCAGTGGCAAAAAAATAGAGAAACATTGGGCCTAAATTGCCTATAAGTTTCAGACACCCTAGTCTTAACAGAGGGAAGGTTGTTTGACTTAGACAGACTGAGTAGGTGCATGCACCATACTTTAACAAAGAGTAGAAATTTGAATGTTTTAGGCATCAAGTTTACCTTGAAATCAGACATGAGCAATTTAATAACCCAGGAAGAAGCAGTATAGCTTCACCATTGGGTGATCATTGCAACTAAGGTAAAGGATGATTTGCCTAATCTGGGCAATAGCAGAAAAAAAGAGTGAGTTCAAATATGACTGAACCATTTGCTCTAGTATTATACATCTCTACTAACCCATTCCAGTTTATTTCCCCAAACAAAATAAAAAAGGAGACGATTAGTATGCCTCAAGCCTGCAGTGAGACCATAAAAATAGAGGCATAATAAATAAAGTGCCAAAAAGTATATTTTTGTAGACTGCCATCCTACTAGGGAAGTAGAGATAGTTACCCATCCAAAGACTAATTTTGTCCTCTACCTTAACAATAATCTCTTTTAGATTTTGTTTGTGTGAGTCTGCACCAAAATACAGGTAACCCCCATACGTACAACACATATAACATGGTAGTTACGTTCCAAAAAATTGCCGTGTTATGCAAATCCGTGTTATATGAAACAAAGAACTAATATGAAAAGGAGGGTTAGGTTCCAAAAATTAAAAAACATGCTATTATATTTTCATAATTAAGATAAATATCTTTATTAAAATTATTTTAAGTGATACATATTAATATAAATTAAACAATGTTTTCTTCGTCATCACTAAAAACACTATTAATTAACCGAGAGCGTTTTCTTTTTGGCAAGTTATCCTTATCCTCTGAGCATTTTTCTGCATTATCTTCAGATCCATGCTTTACCTTTTGCAAAATGTATGTAATTTTAGATTGCTTGCTTCTAATTAAAAGATCTTTATAAATTTCCTTATATGGTGCTAAGCACTTAG